TTTGACAAATCCATTTTTTTGTACATGGTTTGGAGAGCAAAAGTCAGGTTTTTTTAAAGTCAGCCTCTAACTGGTTCTTATAGCAACAAAAAAAATAAAAATAAATGCCGTTTTCTTCACGTCTTCCTCTCCTCATCATTTTTGCGGGGAGGGATCAGCAGGAACGGGTGACTCCTTTGAACACCCTTGGACAGCTATTTGCTTTGCTTTCATTTCTGCCTGTTTGATAACAGCTTGTCCTCTTTCCTCGCTTTGCCTTACAGCAGATTCCTGTGTTAACAGCCTATTCTCCACGTTGGCTAGAAATGGTGCAGAATACTGGAAGGCCTGTGGACAAACGATAGTTCTGTTTTTGTTTTTGTTTTAAAAAGCTTTTGGTGCAAAATTCTCCCAGTTCTTTTCCTTGGGGTGGAAACAGGGAAGGTCATGATGCCTGAGAAAAGGTAGATGGGAAAGAGGAACACAGATGTGAGGAAGAAAGCTACCTGGATAAAGTTGCGCGTGATGTATTTGGAAAGGGGTGAGTTAGTGACGTAGGCGGAATCAGATTTACTTTTATCCTTTATGGGAAAGGATCCTTTGCTTGATTCAAAACAGCACCGTGCTCTAATTTGGCTTCCTTACCTCAAAAGGACATTATTGGTAGCTTTCGCAAGAAGAGTGCAAAGCCACACGTGGGCTAGGCAGAACCAGGTTTGTGCTGGAACCCTCTTTATTAACCAGAAAAGGTCAGAGGTGGGCAACGGATCCCTGGAGTGGAAAGCAAGACACTTTTAGGATGGAGAGAGAGGGGAGGGTTTGGAGGAAGCGACACAAGTTGACAAAGACCTTGGGAATGGCCAAACACAGGCTTAAACGCACCTCCTCGCCTTGCAGCGTTTCCCTGTGAAAAGAAACCATTGTGCGGGGAGCAAGGTGGTGGAAAATGACAGCCTCTTTCTCTAAGCCATGTAGGGATTCCTCTTCTGTAGGGATTCCTCTTCCTTTTCACCAAAGGCACAGTTGGAAATACAAGGCTGACCTGGAGTGGAAAGAAACCTGGAAGTTGGAACATCTCCCACCTCCTATTAGATTTTTTTTTTTTTTACCCTCCAAGCTGGGGTGGCTGAACATGGCTCCCTATGCACTAAAGTTCCTGTATGCATTTCTCAGGGTGTATGATTTGTTCCTCCTTTTGAAAATTAGCTTCAGCTCACTCCGTTCCTCCCTTTACTGCATCTTGGGAACGACGGAAGAAATAAAGCCATTCTTATTGGGAAAGCAGCTGGGAGCGATGGGGGGAGAGTGCAGTTTTCCTGCAATCCAGTTTTGAGCACTGGCCCAACTCATTTCTGGATTCCCAAATGTCTTCCTTCGCTTGGGGAGAAATGGCAGCGTTTGAACTATTCTCATCTTTGTTGGCTGTTGTTCCAATCTATATGAGTAAAATGCACTATTTTACACAAAAGAGGTTGAGTTCCCTCTTTGCCCCAAATTTCTCCCTATATTATACTAGTTGGATTGTTTGAAGGACATCCCCTCCAAAACAATCCAACTACTGAGGCCAGAGTTAAGGGGGAAATACGGATCAAAAATTTAACCTATGTTTTGCCAGATCTGCACTGATTTACCCATTCAAACCTGGCAATGTTTATACATAAAATTCTACATAGGAAAGCTTCATGCAAGGAACTGATGGGCAATTATCTCTGCATATTGATGCTGAACAACTGGAAGTTAGGGTTATACCTGCTAAAAAGTACATTTAGGTTTGTTTTCACGGATTAATGAGGGGGGGCACACATAAGGAAAGTAACAGCTATTCAATCTTAACTTTAAAATGAAAAACCACAATTTTCTCCTTGACATTCACTTCCTTCATTTCCCCCAAGGAAATAAGATCCCTACCATTGTTGCTGCTTGTGAGAATCAAGATAGGAGAACCAGATTCTTTTATTTTACCATGAAAAAATAGAGGGGGAAGTTGTAACAGTAACTTTATTGATATTTAAAAGTTCATTTGGGCCATTTATCCAACACCTTAATCCTGGTAGTTGGTTGAAACAAGCTTGATTTGCTTTCTGATTTTGTCTGAAGATTTCACAGAATCCTATACCTTTCCCAGGCACTTTTTATATTTAGTTTTGATTTTGGGTTATATTGATGGAATTAGGAAAAGTTTCCTATTGAGCACATCTGCATAGCCTTCTTGACAATAAAACCATTTACAGAGGGAAGCACATTTCTTCCTTATAAAGGAGGCAGAATTAGATTTTCTGTTTGGGGAGAAACTTGATCTGTTCTCAGCCTTCTCCACTTGTTTCTGATCTTCAGAAACACTCAGTTCTCTCTTCCCCAGGAGCAAATGTTAAGTCCCATGTGGTTAGGTCCCTTTTATACTTTTTCCCTCCAAGCCAGCTCTTGGCTGATTGGTGGCACCCTTGACAGACTCTGCTTTTTTATTGGTCTGTAGTTGGACCATGTCATTGGCCTATAAGTTCACCAAGAGGCCAATACCCACTGGGTTTTTGTGAGACAATTTCCCATTGGTGGATTTTTGAGCCATAGGATTTGTATATAAAGGAGAGTGGAACAAGCTCTACAGCATTCTTTGCTTTGTGAGTGGCTTGGTTGGAGGATTTTTATCCATACCTCTACTTCCTTTTGCAAAGCCTTGTGATGCTAAAGGAAAGCAAGGCTGAATCAAATTGAACTCAATACATTTATAGTTCCTTGCTCAACAGTATTTCTTGTTAAAATAGCATGTGTATCTATCTGTCAGGGAGGTCTGTTATTTCAGTTTATAGGACAGTAGGAATTCTCTCTCTGTTTACAGCTGTGACCTGCCCCATAGTTTGTGACTTTGGCACCTTGGACTATTTCACTCATAATATTAAGGCAGAATGGCTGGATTCCATCTGGTTTGCATCCCAGGAGATTGCTCGCCAGGTGCCTTCAAGTTCTCAAGCTAAAAACCCAGCAGCTTTTAATGCTGGCATGTCTAAATCAAGGTCTGATTGCTGGTTCCAAATTGGGCAGGGATGAAAAGCTGGGCGTGAGTTCAGATTCTGGTTTGTAAGAACAGCTGGACAGCTGCTGCCTATTAGTGATTTCCTTCTCTTAAAGAAGAGATGTTAGCTCAGATTTAATGGGGAAGGGGTTGGGGAGATAAATATTGACTGCAAATGCTTAAAAGTATTTACTTACTAAAAATAT